TCCAAGTCTCTTCAAGGTTGCGAGCATTGAGAGAGAGAGGGAACCTTTTTGACTTCTGAGAGAGAAGTGATTTTGTCTTTTGAGTTCTCTGAGAGAACAGACGGGTTTATGGTAATTATCCATATTTTTGTGGTCTAAACCAAATTTTACCCCTTTATTTTTATGTTTTTAGCGAAATGGAACCCAAATTTTCAAAATTCGGGAATCTTAAATCATTTTGTTACCCTGTTTTCATTCCCTTATTTTCGTCCAACACAGTGTCTTGGTTTGAATTAGAGAACTAAATATTTGACTAAAATAAAATGAATAAATGAAGCAATAAATCTGTAGTCGAAGACCTTCAGTTGCTTCTGATCAACAGTGGATGCTGAAGGATTGGCTTCTGTACTCCGATCTTTCAGTTGCTTTGAACCTTTTACATCGAGGGAAGCACTTTCTTTCCCCGAAGCATAACATCATCCACTGGTCCACTTTTGGTCTAGAGCTCGAAGAATTAAACGAACTGGACTTCAAAAAGGAACCTACAAAGACAGAAAAAAGGTAATACTATACAACCTGCAACATCACCAGAAGTATCAAGGAAAAACTGCATTTGAGAGAATATTTATCATATAACCTGCAACATCACCAGAAGTATCAAGGAGCTGTGAGTCAGTAGATCGTGTCTATTGAAAGATGAGTGATGAGCTAGCTTTCTTGTTGGCTTCTCTAAGCCCTTAAATGATGTTTCCCGAGATAAAGTAGACAACCTTGGGAGAGCAGATCTCTTGGGTGACCTTGTTGGAGCCTCAACAGCCTGTCTTTTAGCATCTGGAGCTGCCTCAAGTTTATCTATGTGCCTTTTGCTGGAGCTCTGTGTATTCAAATTTACCTCAGTTTCTCTTTTTCCCTTGGCTTCTGCATGTTTCAACTCAAGTTCGTTAGACAAAAAGGAAAAAACAAGTTAACAGCCAATTTCCATTAATTTCATGTATGGTAATTTTTTCAGCTTTACCTAGCTTCTGCTTTTCTGCTTCCTCAGCAAACTTGCATTCTTCACAAAGCCAATCACCTTCAGGAACTTTCTTAAGCGTTACCCGCATGCAATGGCTGAGCAAAAGAAAACAAAACTATATCATTAACACAGAAAATGGTGCTGCGTTATTATTAATAGGATAATCCAATTAACTAAAACTTCACTAATATTAACGTCAAAGACAAATCCTGAACGGCAATTGGCCATATTAGCTCATAAAGACAGAAGCAGGCTTACGTGTGTTCTGCACCATCACTGCATCTGCTGCAGATAGCAAGTAAATCCTCACGACCAGCATCTCCACAAATATCACATACTTTTACCTGCTCAACAACAAAGACACACAAGTCTG